TGAGACTCATTTGTTAAAAGATGGGAACTTCTAGAATATGTTCATTCTTTCTTCACACAAGGATGAAACAAAGAAGTCTTTGAGAGAAAGGTAAGTCTTGGAAGCCAGTGGTCTGGGCTTCCAGGTCTGACTGCCTCTATACTCTTAGAGAATCCTTGTGTCCAACCTTGGAGAATCTGAGATTGGTTGTTTGGTAATCTTCCTTTATCTGTGGGGAGTATGTTCCAAGACCCCTTGTGGATGCTGGAAACTGAAAATGGTTCCAAACTCCAGATAGATAGATAGATAGATAGATAGATAGATAGATAGATAGATAGATCCAAACCCTAGATAGATACATAGATAGACAGACAGACAGACAGAGAATAGACAGATGGTATGATGTTTCCTATCTATACATACCTGTAGTAAAGCTTAATTTATTAATTAGGCACAGTAGTAGATCTTAGTCACCTCAGCAAACAGTCTTTTTTCTTTTCCTAGTTGGAGAACTTTAACCTTTTCTCATAAGGGATCACTTTATGGTTTGCCTTTGGCATATCCGTGTTGCCAGCATCACAACTCTTGTGCTGTGGGGCCAGTCGTAAGTAAAATAAGGGCAACTTGAACTTAAGCACTGCAATACAGTGACAGTTGATCTGATCAATGAGACAGCTCCTAAGTAACTAAGGGGCGAGGAGCGTCTACAGTATGTAGATGCTGGGCAAAGGGTTGATTTATGTCCTGGGTGGAACAGAGCAAAATGGCGAGAGATTTCATTATGCTACTCAGAATGGCATGCAATTTCAAACTTATGGTTTTTTCTGGAATTTTCCGTTTAATATGTTTGGTCCTCGGATGTCCATGGTTAACTGAAACTGGAAAGCAGAACTGTGAATGGGGGTACTGTATTAAGAGAACCAGTGGGTTTCCTTTTAGTTGCCTTTATGTATATAAGTGTACCTTCTTCTTCCCATTCTGATTCTATGCTTGCATGGCATATTTGGCTTCATGTGTTGCATTCTCTAGGGCAGGCATGCGCTGACTGGTCCACTTTACTTTTTTCGATTCTCAGAGTAAATAATTGTGCATACTGATTTTATTGTTTAGTCTCTGAGGTTGATAGGTTTGAGCCTGACCCTGAGTGATGGCTCTGTGCTGGATATATAGAAAAGATGAGGCTGAGCTTACCAGGCAGAAGCCTAAATCCCTGACTAGTGGCCAGCCAGCCCACCAAGCAGTACAAGACTGTAAGGCACTGGAGGGAGCAGCAGCAGGTGGCTGATCTTTGAGCCCCTGTGTAATTCTGTTGGCACAGGTTAAAGAACTTGACAGCTGCTTTCTTTTATCTCTTTTCTTTTCTCTTTCCCTTTCTTTTTCTTTCTCTTTCTTTTCTTCTTTTTTGTTTTTGAGACAGGCTGGAGTGCCAGTGGCGTGATCATGGCTCACTGCAATCTCTGCTTCCCTGGCTCAAGGGATCCTCCTACCTCAGATTCCCAAGTAGCTAAGACTACAGGCGCATGCCACCATTCCTGGCTAGTTTTTGTATTTTTTGTAGAGACAGGTTTTCATTGTGTTGCCCAGGCTGCTCTTCAACTCCTGAGCTCAAGCGATCTGCCCACCTCAGCCTCCCAAACTGCTGGGATTACAGGCGTGAGCCAACGTGCCCAACCAAAAGCCGCTTTCTTTTTATGACTTTCCACAGTGTGTTCTATGGGAAAAAAACAAAAAGATGTTTCATAGATTTCACATACACTTTTGAAAAATCTTGTTCTTTTGAGTGGCCATGGTATGCTACAGGATATTCTAAAAAAAAAAAAAAAAAAGGAATACATCTCCTAGCACGTTAAATTTACTCTCACTTAAAAGCCATAATTGGCTGGGTGCAGTGGCTCACGCCTGTAATCTCAACACTTTGAGAGGTCAAGGCAGGAGGATCACTTGAGCCCAGGAGTTTGAGACCAGCCTGGGCAACGTAGTGAGACTCCGTGTCTACAAAAAAAAATTTTTTTTTAATTAGTTAGGTGCGGTGGTTGGGCACCTGTAGTCTCAGCTACTTAGGAGGCTGAGGTGGGAGGGTTACTTGAGCCTGGAATGTCATGATTGCACCACTGCATTTCAGCCTGGGCAATAGAGTGAGACCTTATCTCAAAAAAAAAAAAAAAGTAATAAAAAGAGTACAGGCCTTTTTGCAGGAGGCCCAGGTTCTAGATAAGCCTATGACTAAGCAGGCCTAGTCTCATTACAATAAAATGGCAGAAGGGGTGATGGTGGGGAGGTGATGATAAGGAATTCCCAGGTAGGGGTCTCTGGTAGTACTGGAACTCTATAAATGATTTTCTAAAGTCTAAGAGCAATTATACAATACTGGGATATTAAGCACAGTTTTACTAAAGCAATGGGGTTTGTTGTTTTTACCTGGAATTGAGTTAACACAGCATGGAAAAGCAGATTATCTCATGCTTATCAGAAGCTTTGATTGTCAGTCGTTCCTGTCATTTATTAATAAACTGGAGAAACTTAGAGCATAGGTTTGATGGGGAGAGAGAATAAAAGTTAGTAACATTCTAGATTCCTATACTTCATTTTTCAAACGTATTAGTTTTACCTGGTGAAGGTTATTTGTGCCTTTATGTGAATTTAATTTAAAAAACACTCTTCATGTGTATACATTTAAACTCTTTACATGCTTTACACAGCTCAGATGAGAGAGTATTTTTGGAGTAAGACAGAATTTTTGGAGGAGCCAGCAAGTTCCTGTCTCTAGCCCTTTTCTGAAATAGCTCCAGGCAACACAGTTTCTTCCGTCAGACGTATGTGAGAGTAGGAAATGCTTAAGTTACTGCAGCATTTAAAAATTCTGGTCCATTAAATTTTCATTAGTTCTTATTTATGTTTCAACAAATCTAGTGTTCCATATTGGTTGATTTCAGTATTCAGTCAGAACAACGGGTGTTGATTCATGAAGCTTCGAAGTACATTTCTCATCTTTGTGCTTCCCCCTGCTTCAGTTCTCCAGAGCTACTTAGATTACAAAATGCTGTCTTAAATTTCACATTAGAGCTCTTTTGGTTTAAAATATAAAATACGTTTTTATCACTTGAAATCAGTATTATCTAATAAATAAGGATTATGATTCTCATATTTTCTAGAGTATGCTTTTATTAGCTTATAGTTTTACAGTTTTTTGAAATGAACCTTCTTGTTTTAGCAGTTTTAATGTGTAACAACAGGGTATGTAAAAAAATAGCTTTTATACTATTTATTAAAATATAACCTTTTTTCCTTACCAGTGTCCATTTCTGTGTGTTCTAATGACACTTATTTTTATGTTTCTATCTTTGTGATAACTTGAAATAATGGTATTATGGTTACAGAAAATTGACCAGGGTTTCATCAAACACTTATATTAGTTTTTATAATTTGTGTTTAGCATGAAGTATCTTCGTAGACTGTACAGAAAGTAGTTGTTCTTTTTTTTTTTTCCAGAAAGTAGTTATTCTAATGGCTAAGATTCTAATGATAGAGATGGCTATTTTATTTAAATTTAAGAATTTATGTCTCCTAAAAAAAAGTAATGTTTTCATTCTTGAATATATTTAACTAATGATAGATATGTCTTATTTATTTGGTGACATTTTAACAATGGTTGACTTTCAGAGTATGGTATGGTATCATGCTTAGAAAATGGGATCTGGCCAGACACAGTGGCTCATGTCTGTTATCCCAGCACTTTGGGAGGCTAAGGTGGGCGGATCACCTGAGGTCAGGAGTTCGAGACCAGCCTGGCCAACGTCATGAAACCCCATCTCTACTACAAATACAAAAATTAGCTGGGCATGGCAGCACATGCCTGTAGTACCAACTCCTTGGGAGGCTGAGGCAGGAGAATCTCTTGAACCCAGGAAGCAGAGGTTGCAGTGAGCTGAGATCGTGCCACTGCACTCCAGCCTGGGTGACAGAGAGAGAGAGACTCCGTGCCCACACAAAAAAAGAAAGAAAAGAAAAGAAAATGGAATCTAAGGTTGGAGCCTCTCTGATAGCTCATTTATCAACTAATAAAACTGGGCCTGGCCCAGTTTTTAAGAATTCCAGAAGATTTGGTACTTGCTGTAAAGATGTAATGAAGTATTTATAAAATGTTGGTATATTTGGTAACATTTAGCAGGTGATGTGTGTTCTTATCAAGTTCTGTAGTGCATTTTAAAAGTGGAGCTCAGTATTTTGCTTAACTGAATACAAAATCATTTAGGAGCACCCAACTAATAATTAATAATGTTTTCTGATTTTTTTCCCTGTATATCTATAAAAGTTAGAAAGTATATCTTTATTTTTTTCTTTAAACACATGTTAATCTTTCCCAGTTATAAAAGTAATGACACATTGCTTATGAATCGCATGTATGCTCCACACAGTTTCTCACTTCTGTTTGGATACCATATAAGAACAAATTGGGAAATAATCCCACCTTGGAGATAATCTGTTTATCTTTTGACATTTATTTTTCCATATATTTTCATAAACACCAGGATGCTGTTTTCTTCACTTAACAGCATTATTAGGAAAACATTGCTATATTGCTTAGCATTCCCTCAAATTGGAGAAAGAAAAAAAATGGATTATATCAGTAATCGGTATGGCCTAAGCAGTGTTACTGTTCTCTGTATACATTTTCAAGGCTGAGAGAGCCTTGGCTTCATGGCATTCTTTCCATGATTAGTCTTTCTAATTCTGTTCTTTCATTTGCTCAGTTTTCATCAGCTCAGACAAAAATTCCATGACTAAATTTAAAATTAGTTGATGCCAATATATTGTTCTGGCACCTTGGAGAAGGTATCTTATTCTCTTTATGTCTTTTCCTATTCACCCATTCCTGATACCTATGAAAATGTTTAGACTGGAAGCAGTAACAAGCATGCTGTCATTCATTTTTCTGAAGATTTTTTTTTTTTTTTTTGCAAAATGCTTGGCCTTTAGATGTTGTGAAGCTCCTTCTATACTTAATGCTCTTTTCTTGACAGGACCTAGAAGAATCCCTTAGGATGAAGCTGAGTCTTACCAAGGTAGTTAATGGCTGTCGCCTAGGAAAAATAAAAAACCTGGGCAAAACAAGGGACCACACCATGGATATTCCAGGCTGCCTTCTGTACACCAAGACTGGCTCCGCCCCACACCTCACCCATCACACACTGCGTAATATCCACGGGGTTCCTGCCATGGCTCAGCTTACGCTGTCATCCCTGTAAGTGTTAGAACCGACGATTCAAGTATCAACTCTGGCAGCTGCTTAGTTACCTTAGGTGCAAAAAAGAGAAAGTTTTTTTTTGTTGTTGTTCATATATATGATTTGTTGATTTTCATAATGAAATCAGAGAGAGGTTTCAAATACTATACGTTTTCTGGCCCTAATGTGGTAGCCTCAGGCCAGACCTGTATGTTAGATCTGCTTCACCTTTCCTCCAAACCTACAGTCCCATCCTGCCCTATTGCCACTGCTCCCAGGGGTGACAGGTCAGGGGATGCTCTGTGAGAGCTACACCTGGAGTTCAGGAACTGTTATCATTCACCAGCCTCAAAGCGTTTTCTGCTTTTGCACTTATACTTGCTAATACTACTTTATGGAAACAGAACTAACGAAGTTAGATCATTTTGTGTAATGTATATACTGACTTTATACTTAATCGAAAAGCCTACTATATGACCAATTAACATAATACTCTGCAGTGTTGTGTTAACAACAGAGATTTTAAAGGGGCAAGAGAAGGAAGAAAATTCAAGTATTCTGAAGGAATTGATCTTTGCCAGTTTCACGTCTCATTGAACCACTAGCAAATTGAAGGCCTTCATTCTGGCTAATGAACCTAACCTAGTTAGTTAGAACTCTTGAATAATGATGTAATTCAAGACAGCATTTACTATGATGTAACTTATTTGGGTGAGAAGAAGAGGGCTCCAGTTGCACAGAGTATTTACAGAATGATGCATTATTATGTTATGTATTTTTCTGTTTTGCTTACAGAGCAGAACAACATGAAGTCTTGACAGAATATAAAGAAGGAGTTGGAAAGTTTATAGGTAAAAATTAATTAAGTTATTTATATGTGCCTTGTGATGTGTTAATTTGGAGTTTGGAGGTGCTGTTGCCTCTTTGATCTTTCATTCATATATTTATTTATTCATAATTTTAGTAAGTATTTTTTGAACATCTAAGAGCCAGGCATTGGCAAGTCAAGATTGAATAGGAAACAGTTGCTGCTCTCATGGAATTTGGAGCCTAGCGGGGATAAAGATAGATAATTCTATCTTTAAAATATAAATTTTACTTTGAAGTAAAAATTGTGGTGACTGCTTTACAGGACTAGGGATATGTATGGATATCATGACAGGCCAGAGTGTGGAGCAGATAACCTGCTCTGGGGTATATGTGCAAGGTGGTCAGAATAAAGAAAGGATTCTTTTTTTTCTTTAAGCCTCCATAAAAACCCAGAGAAAGGATTCTTGAGAGAGAAGATGAGGGGCATTTTAGCTGGGTCAAGGAAGAGTAAAAGTTACCCAGGTTAGGGGTGGGAACCCAGACAGGTGTGGGGCAGATGCTCCAGGCACTGATTATCTGACTCAGCAGTGAGAACTTGCATGGGGCATGCGTGAGCTCTAAAGTAGTCTCATCATGTTTGAATCTCAGACACGCAGGGGAGGATGAAGCGTTTATATACGGCTGTATTCTGATATATTAATAATATCCTCTATTCCAGAAATAGGATTTTATATGCAGATGTATGCGTCTATTTATTAATAGGAAAAGCTTAACAGTGACAGCTAGAACACTAGTTCTTCTGTACACCACTTTCTCCTAAAGCGTTTTCCGATATCTAGGACTCACTTGGATGAAAGTCCTGCTTCCATTGGTTATTCAGTCCCTCTGATTCTGAGGGCAACTGCATCATGTCCTGTTGGTTATCACAAAGCCCTGTATTTTAGGAGAGGAATTTATGGAATATCATTCTCCTTGACCTGAACCCAATTTTAATAACCAGCTTTAAAGTATACAAGCATATACTTAAGTGAAAATAGCTAATGTAAGCTTTCTAGAGATAATTGTAATAATTGAAATTAGGGAAAATAAAGTGAAAAGACTACAGAGGTTTTAAACTTGCTTTATTTGTTTTTGTCTTTTTTCAGTGGAATCCTGTTTTATTTTCCTTAATGAAAATGTAGGCTAGCATATGATATTTAAGCACATGGTTTACTAAACATTTTTTTGCATTTTTAAAAAAAGATTGTCTTTTTGACTGAAGAACCTAAGAAACTGTCATCGTGAATCAATGAAACTACTAAGAATGAGATCCATTTGCAGCATCCTATAACTTCTCTAAACTTCTGCCCCTAGGGACCCATAATATTATTGAGATTTATTATTAGTGAGATCACTTTGTGGCCATATCATTTTATCTTTCCAGTAGCTAGTTCCCCTTGGATGGTACCTGGAATAAACATATTTGATAGTAAATTCTTTTGAGTAAAATCAAATGAGATCAATGTGTCACTAAATACTTTCATTGTATATTGTGCTTTAAGATATATCTTTCCTTTGTAGCAGCTCAGTACCTATTAGACATGAACCTTTATATTTCTTTCTTTAGATTAGTAATCTTTTTATGCATATTGATAGGCCTCCTATAATTCCAAGTTCAGATACCACCTACTGACAGTGTTTAGAGTTGCTTTATTCAGCAGTGTACATTGTGAAGCTGTTACCTGCTATAATACAGTGTCATTGTTGATGTAAGCACTTTCAAGTGTTCTTTTTTGTGTTTATACAGGCATGCCAGAATCACTTTTGTACTGCTCCCTGCACGATCCAGTCAGCCCCTGCCCAGCTGGTTATGTAACAAACAAGGTGTGTTTTCAGAAGGGCATCCAAGGCTGCAGCTTTTTCCCAGGAAGTCAGTCTACTGTGTATCCCTCAGATGTTCAGATCCCACTGTCTGGGATGATCCCTTATACCTTTTCCTTATTTCAATAATTACAGTGGAATGGGATGGGATGGTTTATAAAAGTTAGAGGCTGGACACGGCGGCTCAACGCCTATAATCCTAGCACTTTGAGAGGCCAAGGCAGGCCTATCACAAGGTCAGGAGATCAAGACCATCCTGGCTAACACGGTGAAACTGCATCTCTACTAAAAATACAAAAAATGTGCTGGGCATGGTGGCGGGTGCCTGTAGTCCCAGCTACTCAGGAGGCTGAGGCAAGAGAATGGTGTGAACCTGGGAGGTGGAGCTTGCAGTGAGCCGAGATCACAACACTGCCCTCCAGCCTGGGCGACAGAGCACAAGACTCTGTCTCAAAA